TGGGAATGGATAAGGCAAATATATGTGGAGCTGCAGCAAGCGACTAGCATATGTGGTGGCTAACTTATACGCAAAAGAGAGCGAGAAGAGAAGGCGAAGCACGAGCGAGAAGCTAAAGGAACATCCTGCGCAAGCATAACTCCAACACCGTGTCCACTTCTCAGACTCCGCCGAGAAGGGGCCATCACGGTAACACACACGGTTGTTTCATTTTAATTAAGTTTAGTTCAAGTCATCTACAACCGGACATTAACAAATTCCCATCCGCCCATAACCGCGGGCACGGCTTTCGAAAGATCAATCCATGCAGGGGGGTCCCAACTTAGCCCATAACAAGCTCTCACGGTCAACGAAGGAATAGACCTCCACCCAAGACACACCGATCAGACTTGGTATCTCGGTACAACAAGATGATTCGACAGGTTAAAACAAGTCCAGCAACACCGCCCGAATGTGCCGACAAATCCCGATAGGAGCTGCACATATCTCTTTCTCAGGGCACGCTCGGATAGGTCAAGCTACGAGTAAAACCAAACCTCAAGTTTCCCCGAGGTGGCCCCGCAGGCTGCCTGGTTCGGACCAACACTCAGAGGAGCACTGGCCCGGGGGGGTTAAAATAAGATGACCCTCGGGCTCCGGAAACCCAAGGGAAAAAAAGGCTAGGTGGCAAATGGTAAAACCAATGTTGGGCATTGCTGGAAAAGCTTTAATCAAGGCGAACTATCAAGGGGTTCCCATTATAGCCCAACCGCGTAAGGGACGCACAATCCGGGAACATAACACCGATATGACGGAAACTAGGGCGGCAAGAGTGGAACAAAACACTAGGCGAGAGGCCGAGCCTTCCACCCTTTACCAAGTATATAGATGCATTAAGATAACATAGCAATATAATGATATCCCAACAAGTAAATAAATGTTCCAACAAGGAACGGCTCCAATCTTCACCTGCAGCTAACAACGCTATAAGAAGGGCTGAGCAAAGCGGTAACATAGCCAATCAACGGTTTGCTAGGACAATGGTGGGTTAGAGGTTCAATCATGCAATTGGGAGGCTGACAAGCAAATGGTAGGCATCGAAGCAGTGGCAAGCAAAAGAGCGAGCAAACTAGCATAGCAAAGATAGTAGTGATTTCGAGGGTATGATCATCTTGCCTGCACAGTTGTCAGAGTTGACTGGATCCTCACAAGCAAACTCAACGGGCTCCTCGGTAGCGAACTCGTCTCCCGGCTCTACCCAAAGACAAACAAGCAACAAGGATACAATCAACCACGGGCAAGACCAAGCAATATGATGAAATGACGATATGCTATGCGGGATGCGATGCGGGATGCAAAATGCAAGATATGACAGGAAATGCATGAACCTGGCATCAACATGGAAAACCAAGTGTTCCACTGGATAGAGGGGATGAAATCGCTTGAAAACGATATAAAGATCATAGGAATCGGAGCTACGGTTTAGAAATGGCAAGCGTTTTAAGATATGACACCGGTATGCGATTTGCAGCAAGTAGGCATCTAAATGCAACGAAATGAACATGCTACAGCCACCAAACATGAAAACAAAATACATGGCAGTGATGTACACAAGATGGTTGACAAAACACTAGCACTGAGCCATAGGCAAATTCATCCATTAAGAGGTTCAAACAAGCGTGGCTAAAACGCAAATGCAAAACAGATTTCAGACTTAGTGAAATTAACACTAGTCTGAAATTTCAGATCACGATGCTCTCTTCGGAGCAGCAAAACAACATGATACAAAACCTGAACATGACAAGTATGAACATGGCATGGAGCTACTCAACAAGCTTAACAAAACACCCAAAGTGACCTGGGGCCAAAAGGGTTCACAAAATACTCTACCGAGCTCACGAACATAGCTCGAACACAATCAGTTTTCAGACTTAGTGAAAACTGAGACATGCTGAAATATAACTCACGAAGGCATGTAAACGAGCTCGATGCACTCACTACGGTGCAAGTCATGGCAAGGAAAGCATATAAACAGCAAGAAGGCACAAAGTGCTAGCTACACATGGCAAGAACAAAGGCATAGCATGCATGGAACACTAACGGTAGCATTGGCGAAATCGCAAACGAGTTGCCGATCTGCCCAGATTAACAACGAAGCAAAAGTTGAGCTCGATTGAGTCAACCTAGAGCACTCCACATATGCAAACAAAGACATGGATGGATAGAGCATAACATAAATATCAAAAGTACCTTACTGATCATCCTCAAAAGAGGCACGGATCACTAGGAAACAAGCTGGACATATAGCATCATGAACTAAAATATCCCAGACTTGGTGAAAATCACTAAGTCCCTGAAATCTGCAATCTCAGGTACCTCTCTTCGCAAGCTTGCACAAGACAACACACACATCCTAAAATTGCATGGGTGGCACCTCTGGAAAGAAGACAAAATGCTTCACAATTCATCCCAAAGGGGCATAGGCATATCATGCACGAATTAAACATGACAAAAATGACAAAAGTGCATGATGAACTAACGGATCTGCAATTTAACTCACGAAGCCTCCTTCTAACAGAATTTTGGGTATCAAGATGACCTCAAATGCAAATGATGCAATGGAATGAAATGATGTACATATCGAGGCGAAGATTTTGACATATCATACGCCCAAAACGGAGCTACGGTTGCGGAGATACAAGCAGTCAAAGGTAGCACGAAAAATTAGGGTTTCGGGGGAGAGAAGTCAACCGAAAACTCAGATCCAGATCGGGATCTCGCGGGTACTGTTCACCGGCGCGTTTCCCGAGGATGACCAGCGCCGGAGCTCGTCGGTGCCGGCCGGAGTGGGGGAAGAGGAGGCCGGGGTGAGGGAGAGGAGGCCGGGCGGCGCCGGAGGAGGAGGCGGCGACCGCGGGCGGCGGCGTCCGGGGCGGCGCCGGCCGGTGGCGGGCGGCGGGGCCCGGCGCGGCGGCGGCCGGTGCGGTGGCGGCGACGGCGCCGGTCGCCGGAGGTCGGGGAGGCGGCGGCGCCCGAGAGGAGGAAGAGGCGCGGGGGCGCGGGCTCGCGGGGGCCCCTCCTGGGCCTCCCGGGCCGGGACGGCGGCGATGTGGGCCTCGCCCACGTGGCGGCTGGCGAGTGGGCGGCTGCGGCGGCGGACGCTGTCCGGCCGGGGCGGACACGTCCGTCGGTGGAGATCTCAGATTTTTTTTTTAAACTAGGGTTTCGGACGGGGAAGAAGAGATCCGAATGGAGGGGGTATAAATAGGCATAAGTGGAGCTAGGAGAGTCCAAATGAGGTGCGGTTTTCGCCCACACGATCGTGATCGAACGCTCTAGGACATGGAGCAGAGTTTGGTGGGTTTTGGGCCAAATTTGGGGGGTGTTGGGCTGCAACACACACGAGGCCTTTTCGGTCCCTCGGTTAACCGTTGGAGTATCAAACGAAGTCCAAATGATACGAAACTTGACAGGCGGTCTATCGGTAGTAAACCAAGGCCGCTTGACAAGTCTCGGTCCAATCCGGAAATGTTTAATCCCCACACAAGAAAGAAAGCTAGAAATGGCCACCGGAGGAGAACGAAGCGCCGGAATGCAAAACGGACAACGGGGAAAATGCTCGAATGCATGAGATGAATATGTATGCAAATGCAATGCACGAGATGACATGGTATGAGATGCATGAAAACGAAAACAACACACGGAGACAAAGACCCGAAACCGAGAAATAAATATAACTTGACACCGGAAACGGCAAGAGTTGGAGTACAAATGGGGAAAGTTACATCTGGGGCGTTACACTAACCCAATGGTCAACGTGTCGTGAGGGAGTGGGCAAGGGGTCCACCCAGCTCACGTCTCGTGCCAGTGGGTGTGCGCCTTGATCCTCACATGGGCGTAACAGGCCCCTTGATCCCCACGCGTAATTTAGCGCCGTAAGTAGGGATTCGAGGGGATTTGTTGCCACGCGGCAAAATTACCATGCCAACGTTTCATATTTCCCCTCTCCTATATAAGGGAGGTGGGTGAGAAAGAACTTTACACTCATTTTCCTCTTACCCTTTCTTCTTCCTCGCGCCCTGCCTTGCTGCTCTTGCGCTCCATCGCTGCTTCACTGCTCTCCATACGTGCCACCATAATCAAACTCCACCACCGTGCTTCTGCATTGTCATGGAAAGACGCCGCTTGGCAATGAACGACTTGCCCATGAACGCCGACTAGGGCCCAGCTGCAGCGCCGCCCAAGGAGAAGGTGGCCTCGCCAACAAAGGGCAAGTGGATGTCCTCCACGACCTCTCGTGGGGTCGCCTTGCCGACTTCGACTACCACCTCCGTTACCCACGCTCTTCTTCCCCTTGATAGAAAGGCTCTTCATTGTGACCTACACAAAAATGCATTAAAATTTCACAAGTTTTACACAAAGGACAAATGTTTTTGTTCAACAACACACTCTCGATATACTCCCTCCGTTCTAAATTACTTGTCTTGGATTTGTCTAGATACGGATGTATCTAGACTCATTTTAATGCTAGATACATCCGTATCTAGACAAATCTAAGACAAGTAATTCGGAACGGAGGGAGTACTATTCAACTATCAATTAGAATGCGCTAATATAATTTTTCAGGTAAAATGTGTAAACTACTAATTTACGAGAAACGTGTACTTCATTTGTCTGAAATTTTTGAAAGACGTCTCCGAAATTTCGCCAATTCCACGAAATTTGCGATTTCGGGACAGGAGCGGAAGACGCGTGCGTATGGGCGTGCGATTGAATCTACAACTGCCCAATCGAAAAAGTCGAGCAGCAAGGAAACGAAACCGATGGCATAACAAACCCTGTGAGGCAAACGGCGAGATTTGTCTCTGTAACCTAGCCGTGCTCTCGCTCTCGGCGTCGATATACCTATGGCGCCGATCCACGCGGAAGCGCGCGCCCCCATCGATCGGCCGCTCCCGCCGTCCCCTCCGCGCGCTCCAGCAACCCACCAGAAGCAGCAACAGCAGTAGGCGAGCGCCGCCATGGCCGTCCGCAAGCGGCCTGCCGCCGTCCACGCCCGCGCGACCACCACCAAAGGCTGCAAGAGGAGGCGCATCCGGATCGGCAGCACCGAGGACTACGAGTTCGACGACACGCCCTGCCTCGGCAAGGGCAGCTTCGGCACCGTCGTCAGGGCGCGCCACCGCGCCACCGGCAGGACCGTCGCGATTAAGTTCCCCTGCGACTCCGAGGACCCCGCCGACGCCGCTGCCGAGCTCCGGCGCGAGGCCAGCTTCCTCGCGGCCTGCGCCGGGAACCCTTACGTCGTCGGCTCCCACGGCCTCGTCTGCGACCCGGCCACCCCAAGGCTCGGGCTCGCCATGGAGTACGTCGCCGGGCCGACTCTCCACGGTTTCTTGCGGGAGAGGGCGCCGCTCCCGGAGCCCATCGTGTGCGCCTACATGTGGCGGCTGCTCACCGGCGCCGAGAAGATGCACCGGCTCGGCATCGTCCACCGCGACCTCAAGCCATCCAACATCCTCGTCGGGAAAGGGGGAAAGATCCTCAAGATTTGCGACCTCGGCCTCGCCATGTCCCTGCGCACGGCCGACCGGACGCGGTGCAGCGACGCCGGCACGCTGCCGTACATGGCGCCCGAGGTGCTCCTTGGGAAGCCGGACTACGACGCGGGGGCGGACACGTGGTCGCTCGGGTGCGTCATGGCCGAGATGCTCACCGGCAGGCCGCTGTTCAAGGGCGACGTGAGGAGGGACGATCCGGTACGCCAGCTTCGCACTATCTTCCGCGTCCTAGGCTCGCCGGACGACAGGACGTGGCCGGAGTTCACGTCGCTGCCGCTCGCCGGCGCGGTGCGGAGATCGTTCCAGTTCCGGGAGCAGCAGCGCAGCACGCTGGGAGACCTCTTCCCCGCGGAGATGCTGTCTGAGGACGGCTACCAGGTCCTGAAAGGGCTTCTTGAGTGCAACCCCGGCAAGCGGCTGACGGCCGCCGCCGCGCTCCAGCTCCCGTGGTTCATGCCTGAGATCGACGTCGGCACCAACACCGACGGCGCGTTCATCCCGCCGGCAACTCCCAGGGAGGAGAATCTGCTAAGGATCCCACTTGAGATGTGGAAGAATTCGCAACGGCTTGAGTGTGCTTGAAGCAATGGAGAGCCATGTAGTCATGTACTCCCTCCGTAAACTAATATAAGAGCGTTTAGAATACTAAAGTAGTGATCTAAACGCTCTTATATTAGTTTACAGAGGGAGTAGATGCTGGCAGAAGAATACGTACTTGTGTTTGTATACGTGTATGACACCATGTCTGGGAGTAGATAGAAGTTGTATCTCTATCTCCCAATCAAACATTGCCTTGTAACCGACATATGAATGTGATGATCAATATATACCACATCAGATATTCCTACTTGTATTCAAAGACCAATATCTAGCATATATGCACTCAAGCTCTTTTCTTAATTTACAGGAGGGTTCAAAGTTCAAACCCAGCCCACTGCAGTTGAGGATGAACTGAAGAAACCTTAGAATTTTAGAAAACTTCGGAATGTGCAAAGAAGATACCGAATCATTTTGAACTTATGTCAAGTTACAACTTACAGCGCGTCACTGAGAAATAAACTTCCTTTAAAGATCAACATCATAGCTCTGGAGTTCATCCCTCCCCTGTGTTGATTCAGGAATTTCGTCTTTTTTAAGGCTCCAGGGATTTCTGAAACATGAACATAGAACTCTGAATTTCTGATGCGTAAAAAGCCACATTTTAAAAAGTGAGGCATCCTTAGAATACTATGTTGTTCTGATGCTATATAAAATAGCGTAAAAAAAACCCGAAGGTAATCATCCTAATCGAGGCAACAGGAAAAAAAGAAATGTGAACAGGGCATGTATGCACATTTTGAAAAGAATGAACAGAGCCAACTAAAATCTGTGAGCATTAAAATTTGTGGAAATTTTGGTCAAGCACACGAACAGGGCCTCTATGCACATTTTGCTCTACGGTACCAGTAGAAAGAGAACAGATTGGCAGTATCATTTTAAAAAACTTTGTTCTAAGGTTGCTGTTAGCTTTCTGCTCTGATTCAAGTTAACTTGGCACCTGTAAGATTTTTAAACACGTACTATGGCTTCACACTTACTTGGGAGTAACCCATGAAGTCTGAAAGATTCAGAGTTAACAATCAACTCTGATTTTTCAGAATTCAGATTAGAAAATTTACATCACGATTTCTGTTTACATTCATGCATGATTCGTTCAATTTTTTGAAGTATAAGCATAGATCCAGCATGTCTTAAGCAAGAGGAAGCACGGAGCTCCATGTATGAATTGATTAAAGCACAATATGTTGCTACTTTATTTGACTTGTTATTTTGTTCAGTTTGCCTCACTCAGCTGAGCTGATGAATCCGGCAGGCATGCGACAGCAACTCGTCAGCCACCATGTTACAATCTCTAGTATAATACTAGAAGGTCAACTTAACTTGCAAAATTCAAAAAAGAGACAAGTAGGAGCTTCCCTGAATAAAACTTACGCCAGCGTCAGGCCGTACATGTCACTGAATCTTCAGGGCATCATAAACTAACAGGGCCTTCAGAATCATGTATAGTACAGCAAAGCCATTGTCACCATGTTTTGTCTCGTTTCCTGGAAGAAGAAACAAGCACCATCAACATCCAGTTTCAACACATCTTCACCTGCAAGAGAAAAAAAAGCACCATCTTCACCTGGAAGAACTCCACATCTTCTGACCTGGTGGTAAGTCACTCCAACGATCGATCCATTCACCTCGTCTACATTTCATTAATCTTGTTTCTATAATTTCAACAAGTACCAGAGAAGGGACACACAACTGTTTTTTAAATCACATCTCTTCGGTCTTCGCTGGTAATAGCATGGAACATACACCTTTGTCTTACTGCAAGCACACACCTGAGATCTCATTCCTTCCAAGTTCCAACTTCTACAGCCTCACATCAGCAACAAACAAATGTGCACCATCAGTAATTCCTATGTTTGAAATTCTGCAAGATTCCATACTACATGGCATCCCATTCGGCTTTTCCCCTTTTCCTATTCCGACTTTCCAGATATAAATTTGCAAAAAAGATGGTACATAAGACCCACTTTACTATCCTACACAAATATGCCAAGGGATAAAGATGCCCTCACTATCTATATAGATAGTGCTATTATGGAATAAAATTAGCTACAAGATATAGCAGAACATGGTAATGCCATAATCCTTTTTAAGATTACCATAACATAACTTCCCCTATTGTATGAAATGCCCTCTGTTTTTCAGCAGCATACCATATACAAGCGTCAATTTGCTTCTCCACCAAAAATACCAGGGCATTAGAAATATCTGTTGACGTGATAATATACAACTTGGCAGCAACAGCAATGCCAATAGCCTACTAATCAACTATTCAGATTCGAGATCAGATGCTCTAGAAAAGTATCACCCAGAAGGTCATCCAAAACTACAGGAGACAAATAAATGGAAAATCTGATGTATAAACTAGTACTAGTCAACACTCAACAACGGCCGGCCTTCACAACAGTTAATATCTTACAAACAAAGCTACTGCAGGAAGAAGAAACATTTCAGCTTATATAGAACTAAAGCAAGCAACCAACAAACCAGATCAAAACTGCATCATCAGCAATGGTCAGCACATTGTGGCTAACTGGCCATCAGCAATTCCAGGAGTATTTCCCACAGAAGAAGAGGTCCAAAATTTTCATCCATACCAAAGTTTGAGACTTCATATCATCTTCATGGCCAAAATGAGAACATTCTTTCATGGAAAGACAGATTGAGGATTGCACTGAAAACTGCAATGGCCATCTCAGAACATAAAGATACAGAGTGTGCAGAAATACTACTCATTGATACCTCAAAGCATCTGTGGGATGCCCTGATCTCACACTCTTAATTCCAATATATGTGCCAATATGACACAAGGAAGGACAAGTTCATTGTAGTGTGATGCTTTCTTTTCGACTGAATGACATAATGACCATACCAATTTTCATACCGGTCTTGGTTCATGTAAAACTGAATCTAGCAGGCACTTGCCCTCTTCAAGCGGCTGCATAATCTTCAGCGAGGTAAGGTGCAACTTCCTTGTGGGGGCATATTATTTCAGCATGAAATCATCCTCGTTCATCTTGACAAGTGTAACTGTAAAGTAGCTCAGGTCACACTTGAGCAATCCATTTTCCTTGAGAAACTTTACAGCCTAGTATCAGGGCCTGAGCCTGCCCTCTAGGCTGTGACTGAGTATTACTGGTTGATGAGCAATGTATGCTGGTTCCAAGCCCACCTCGGAGATGAGGAACTCAGACCTGCGCTGCAGCGATTCCTTGGACCTCTTCAGCATCAATGGAGCTTTAGAAACAGCAATGCCCACCTGAGCATCCGACCATCTGAACGTGCTCTTCAAGTATTCAACTTTGGCTGCGATCTTCTCCTCGCTGAGGAATGCGACAGCATGCAGAGCGTGCCTGAACATCCGAGAGCGGCTGGGCACACCTATGTTTTTGGCGCATGCCACCATGGCCTGGACTCACTCCGGTATGGTGGGGAGCAGCCATGGCTGATTAATGCATAGCTTGGCAATAACACAAGCACCTAGCCTGCACCCCTGCAGCAACGTGACGTTTGGTTTGACCATACCCTCGAGGTCAGACATGAGAAGGTAGAAGCTCTTCTTGAGGGCCCAGAGGAGGTTGTTGGAGGACCCAAATGCATAAGTGGATGTATGAAAGGTTTAAGTACAGCCAGCTTGAAATGCTTACTTTGTTTCAGAAAAAACAGACCATGACAACTACTGTACAACCCATCTTCTTGAAAAATAGAAGCTAAAAAAATTCTAGCATGCTTTGGCAGTTACTTCGGAAGTTAAAGAAAGTATTGGAGTTCTTTGCCTTTCCAGATCGAACATTGTTTGAGTCCTTAATTTTACCTTGGCAAAATCATGCAGACACAGGTATCAAATTTTACTCTTCATCCAGATGAACACCCAAGATGGTGGAAACTAATTCAAGTACAGATTATGTGGCCAGTTGGAAGAAATGTGCCCCAAAAGGTTAGCAGATTGTGTGCAGCATTTCAAACAAACAAGAATACTAGGGGGAGTAATTAAGAACCTGCAGTCTCTGCAGATATTCAGACCATGTATTCAGAGTATGTATGTACATGATACCAACTGTTTGCTGACACTAATCACAATCACACTGACGAAAGCAACAAGTTAAGCACTCAGTTTTAGCCAAACTAAAGAAGAGGTACCTCAGATGTAGAAAGCAAGAGGAAAAAAATGCTAGTGAACCACCTGATGGTGCTTGGCACCAAGAATTACCCACAGGACGAAAACACAATAGTGAACTAAAAATCTTAAGCTGCCATCCACAATAAACACATGATTTATGGCCATGGTGCAGAGCATAAAAATCCACAACATACAAAAAAAATAGTGCTTCTTTGTCTCATTAACATCACTAGCAGCAAGTGCTTCTCCATTGTCTCAATAACAATACTAGCATAAAAATAAACAGAGGCATGTTAGTTTACTTACTTAAACTTAAATGATGCCAACCCTCCTCCATGAGAGTTCGATGTTTAGTCAAGCCGGCATCTCTCTTTAGCAGATAACCTGTATGTGTGAGCCCTGCACATTTCATCCTGCAGTCCAGTAGGTATTTCCAATATGACCAATGGTTCCAAATCGTTGCTTCTGATCTAACTAAAGGAGAACTCATCTGTGTACACTTTCCATGGTTGAATTTTTTCGCTAAAGTTTCCACGGTTGAGTGAACGCCTCCATCTTTACTTAGTTACTTAAAGCAAAAAAAAAAATGGCCCAAAATAGGAAACGCCAACACCAGGAGGCAACATGCTCTCCAGCTGCTTCCAAAAAGACTATTTACCTAAATTTGGGATGGGTATCAGATTGATCCTCCAATTATCCACTATGAATTGCAAAAACATTTATAGAACATCAGGAGTGCATTACTGACATGAAGGGGACCTTACCTTGGCTAGTTATCTCAATACACCAGCAACGAACTTGAAAACTGAAATTTTAATGCATGGCAGAATGGCCTCATCTCACACTTAGTCCCAATACGTGTGTTTAAAAACATGAATGGGGACGAAAAAGTTCATAACTGATACATGGTTTCTTCTCTGCTGAGTGGTGACATTACATATCAGTATTCAGGGATCAAATTATCAGTTTCATAACAATTAACAACAACCGACCCAGCATCTAGCAGACATACAGATACAGCAGCGGACAACCAGCAAACAGTTACATCAGAGCCCATTCTCGGCTTATGTGAATCTGAAATTAGTGGGCTCTTCCCCCTTGCAAGCAGCATCATAGTCTTTTTCCAGGTTCGGTGCAGCTTCCTTATGAGGGTGTATGAACTTCTTCTTGAATGTCTTCTCAGACTCCTTGAAAACAGTATAGTAGCTCGGGTCACACTTGAGCAATCCATTTTCCTTGAGAAACTTTATAACGTAGTGCCGGGGTCTGATCCGGCCCTCCAAGCTGTACATGAGCATTGCCGGACGATAAGCAATGTGTGCCGGTTCCAACCCCAGCTCGCAGATGAGGAACTTGGATCTGCGCTGCAGCGATTCCTTAGCCTTCGTCAGCACCGCTGGAGCCTTAGAAACAGCAATGGCCACCTCAGCATCCGTCCACCTGAACGTGTTCCTCAAGTACTCCACTTTGGCTGGACATCCCAGCAAGATCTCCTCCTTGCCGACAGATGCAACAGCATGCAGCGCGTGCCTGAACATGACAGAGCCACGGGGCACACCTATGTCTTCGGCGCATGTCACCATCGCCTGGACAAGCTCCGGGTTGGCGGTGATCATCCTCGGCCTTGAGATGCACAGCTTGGCAATATCGCAATCACCTAACCCGCACTCGCGCAGCAACGCGACATTGGGCTTGACCACCCTCTCGAGGCTGTGCGAGATGAGATCGCAGAACTTCATGGCCCGGAGGAGGTTCTCGGAGGAGCGGAAGAGGCGCAGGTGGTACTCGAGCTTGGAGACGGTGTCCTTTCTGCGGAATCTGTGGGCGGCGAGCGAGGCGAGGCGTGCGATTTCGGAACGCGATAGGCCGAGGTCAGAGAGCCCGGCGACGATGGGCGCCAGGGTTCTCTCCACGCTGGCGCAGAGGAGCTGCGGGTCCTTGGCGACGACCGCGGCGGCATCGGCGCCGGAGAGGCCGAGGCCGGCGAGGAAGGCGAGCACGGCGTCGGGATTGGCGGGGGACTTGAGGCGGGGGAGCTTGCGGGAGGCCTTGACGGCCTGTGCCCGCGTGAGGCCGCAGGTGGAGAAGAGGTAGTTCTCCACGGCGAATCCGGTGCTTGGGGAAATGGCGACCGAGAGGAGGCGGTGGAGAGGGGATGCGGGAGAGGTGGCTTGAGAAGAAGAGAGGAGATGGGCGAGGATGGAGCTTCGCAGCCGGAGCATGGCGCCGCGGCGGTACGGTGGTGCCGGCGGCGAGGGGATGGGGAACGACGGCCGGCTGGTGCCAGAGCCAGAGGATTTGCGTGGTCTGGTCTGGTCTTGTTCGACCTTGATGCTGACAAGGTGACCCTACACGCCAGTCTCTCTTTCTCTGATAATGGGCTGGGCTGGTCTGGACTGACACTGTGCAATGTTTTTTTTTGGTTCTCTTATAAAATATAACTAACATTGGCCGTGCCCACAATAATAACATACACTATCTTTGTACCAAAATATACTACGTTTTTACCCCGCAAAAAAAACTAATTTGAGTATGGCAATTTAAAAATATTACTTTTTTAGTTTAATTTAAAAATATTACTATCATGATTTATTATGGATCCACATGCATGCTATGTTAAAGTCGATGGTATTTGGTTACCCTGCACATTATATAGATAAACGTGTACTCCATCTGTACCAAAATAGTTGTCGTTGGAGTAGCTGAAGTTCAGCTACTCCAGCGACAACTATTTCGGTACAGAGGGAGTATTATATTTTTATATACTAATCCATTCATAAAATGGAGGGAATATGGTTTGTCTTCCTTAGTGTCAACACTGATATCCCGCAAAAAAAAATAGTGTCGACACTGATACATATCAAGGCACATGTACTGATACGTTTTCTTTTATATTCTTTTTATGTTTTCCTGCGGGAAGGTGTGAGAGGTAAAAACAAATGAAGAACAGAAGAAGATTTGATGTGGGGCAAAAACATTAGAAAAAACGGAAACAAACTGGTGGGGGCCCATCGTGATTGTAGTTTTCTCTAATTCGCGGTTGCTTGCTCGAGGAGTAGTGATTATGATAATAGTTTTTTTTAGGGAAGTGATTATGATAATAGTTGTTGGCAACTGTGATGGAGTTTCTCTATTCGGTGGGGTGTGGATCTGTATGTGTAGTCAGGTCGGCTGAGGTGTCTGTCATGTGGACATGGCATGCTAGTTTTCACTAATTGATCTTATGTCCTCCCCCTGGATCGGCCCGCGGTCGTCCTCCCCCTAGGGCGACTTGGGCGGAGCCAGAAACCTAGCCGCCGCCGCCGCAAACTCCCTCCTCCTCTCCCTCCGCCGCCGCTGGAGGACGTCGTCGGGCTAAGCCCGGGGGCAGACGGCGGTGGCGGGGGGATCTCCTCTCACGCGCGTCTTCGGGGGTGGGGCGGACTGTCGGTGTCAAAACCGACGGATCTCGGGTAGGGGGTCCCGAACTGTGCGTCTAAGGCTAATGGTAATAGGAGACTGGGGACACGATGTTTACCCAGGTTCGGTCCCTCTCGATGGAGGTAATACCCTACTTCCTGCTTGATTGATCTTGATGATATGAGTATTACAAGAGTTGATCTACCACGAGATCGTAGAGGCTAAACCCTAGAAGCTAGCCTGTGATTATGATTGTTGATGTCCTACGGACTAAAACCCTCTGGTTTATATAGACACGGAGGAGGCTAGGGTTACACAGAGTCGGTTAAAGAGAAGAAGATCTATCATCTGAATCGCCAAGCTTGCCTTCCACGCAAAGGAGAGTCCCATCCGGACACGGGACGAAGTCTTCAGTCTTGTATCTTCATAGTCCAATAGTCCGGCCAAAGCATATAGTCCGGATGTCCGGATACCCCCTTATCCAGGACTCCCTCAGTAGCCCCTGAACCAGGCTTCAATGACGATGAGTCCGGCGCGCAGATTGTCTTCGGCATTGCAAGACGGGTTCCATCTCCGAATACTTCCAAGGAAAATTCTGAATACCTAAGTCGTGTCCGGCTCTGCAAGACAAATTTCACACACCACCGTAGAGAGAACAATAATCCACAAATCTAATCTGCTGACAACTCTTCGTAGCGTGACATCACGCCACGGCCCGGCCTTTATTCGGACCGTTTTTTACAACCAGCTACCGCACACATTGCGAGGCAGTTTCCTTGGCACGTCTTGTCGAAGCAGAGATCGTGTCCCCTTATTGCGGGATTCTCATCAATACGGGTATAGATAACCCAACCATGTCATCAATCGTGGCGCTTGGAAAATGAGTAATTTTAACAGGCAAGTAGGAAGGCGCACATTTTTTTCACCGCCTTTATAAAGAGATAAGGATCTCCCGTTTTCACCCACGCCTTCTTCCTCCTTTGCCCATTCGTTCTTGCACTCTCGAGCCCCAGCGCCCAAGTTCTCACCTTCTCCATAGGACCATCCATAGCATGTTCGGAGTGGGAGGCAAGTGGATGGCCTCCTCCGTCACAGAGGAGAACATTACCAAGGTTTGGGCGGCCGGATACCTGGCCGAAAACATCACGCACAGGCTTCCAGCGGAGGGACGGATCACCCCCACCCCAAAGTCTCGGGAGAGAGTAGTATTCCTCCCTCATTTCGTCCGCGGACTAGGATTTCCACTCCACCCGTTCGTCCGCGGGCTCATGTATTACTATGGGATAGATTTTCACGATCTGGCCCCAAATTTCGTCCTCAACATCTCGGTGTTCATCGTCGTGTGCGAGGCCTTCCTCCGCATCAAGCCCCACTTCGGCCTGTGGCTGAAGACCTTCTGCGTGAAGCCAAAGATCGTGAGTGGCCAGCAGGCGGAGTGCGGAGGCGCCATGGTGGGCAAAATGCCCAACGTTACATGGCTTCACGGCTCCTTTGTGGAGACCATGAAAGGGTGGCAATCAGGGTGGTTCTACATCACCGAGCCGCACGACGCCAACTGGGTGGCGGCCCCCAAATTCCGATCCGGAATCCCCATGTGGCTCATGATACGTCTCCGTCGTATCTACTTTTCCAAACGCTTTTGCCCTTGTTTTGGACTCTAACTTGTGTGATTTGAATGGAACTAACCCGGACTGACGATGTTTTCAGCAGAATTGCCATGGTGTTGTTTTTGTGCAGAAAATAAAAGTTCTCGGAACGACCTGAAACTCCATGGAATGTCTTAGGATAATTAATAAAAAATCCTCGCCAAAGAAGAAGACCAGGGGGCCCACACCCTGTCCACGAGGGTGGGGGCGCCCCCCCCCCCCCTGGGCGCGCCCCCCTACCTCGTGGGCCCCTGGTGACCCTCCGACGCCAACTCCAACTCCATATATTGGCTTTCGGGGAGAAAAAATCAGAGAGAAGAAATCGTCGTGTTTTACGATACGGAGCCGCCGCCAAGCCCTAATCTCTCTCGGGAGGGCTGATCTGGAGTCCGTTCGGGGCTCCGGAGAGGGGGATTCATCACCGTCGTCATCATCAACCATCCTCCATCACCAATTTCATGATGCTCACCGCTGTGTGTGAGTAATTCCATCGTAGGCTTGCTGGACGGTGATGGGTTGGATGAGATTTATCATGTAATGGAGTTAGTTTTGTTAGGGTTTGATCCCTAGTATCCACTATGTTCTGAGATTGATGTTGCTATGACTTTGCTATGCTTAATGCTTGTCACTAGGGCCCGAGTGCCATGATTTCAGATCTGAACCTATTATGTTTTCATGAATATATGTGAGTTCTTGATCCTATCTTGCAAGTCTATAGTCACCTACTATGTGTCATGATCCGACAACCCCAAAGTGACAATAATCGAAACCACTCCCGGTGATGACCATAGTTTGAGGAGTTCATGTATTCACTTTGTGCTAATGCTTTGTTCCGGTTCTCTATTAAAAGGAGGCCTTAATATCCCTTAGTTTCCAATAGGACCCCGCTGCCACGGGAGGGTAGGACAAAAGATTTCATGCAAGTTCTTTTCCATAAGCACGTATGACTATATTCGGAATACATGACTACATTACATTGATGAACTAGAGCTAGTTCTATGTCACCCTATGTTATGACTGTTACATGATGAACCACATCCGGCATAATTATCCATCATTGATCCGGTGCCTACGAGTTTTCCATATACTGGTTCTCGCTTATTTACTTTTCCGTTATTACTGTTACAATCACTACAAAATACCAAAAACATTACTGTTGTTGTCTTTACTTTTGTTACCGTTACCACCACTATCATATTACTTTGCTACTAAACACCTTGCTGCAGATACTAAGTTTCCAGGTGTGGTTGAATTGACAACTCAGCTGCTAATACTTGAGAATATTCTTTGGCTCCCCTTGTGTCGAATCAACAAATTTGGGTTGAATACTCTACCCTCAAAAACTGTTGCGATCCCCTATACTTGTGGGTTATCAAGACCTTTTTCTGGCGCCGTTGCCGGGGAGCATAGCTCTATTCTTTGAGTCACTTGGGATTTATATCTGCTGGACACTATGAAGAACTTGAAAGACGCTAAGACTAAGATTTTGCCCTCAACTACGAGGGGAGGTAAGGAACTGCCATCTAGCCTTGCACTAGATTCTTCTTCTGTTATAAGTAAGCTTGCGACGCCTAAACCTGCTACTGTTATGAATTCTGATATGTCGCATGTTATTGATGATGCCACTTCTGCTATGCGTGATACTTATGATGAAACCACTTCTATGCTTGATACTACTATGCCCCTTGGTGAATTTCTTGATGAGAAAATTGCTAGGACTAGAGAAAGAGAAATTATTGCACCTGAATACAATGATGAGAGTGATGATGAAAATATGCCTCCTATTCCTGAAGGTTATCTTTTTTATGCAGAATCTTCTGCGGCTATTTTTGCTTTCCAGGATAGATATGAACTTAAGAGGTTGCTAGTTAAATGGAGTAAAGAATCTCTTAGAGATAGGCTAAGACCCGACCCTGCTTTTGCTACTTCACCTATTTGCGTTCCTGATAAGGATTATTATGATTTTTCTATTGATCCAGATATAATTACTTTGGTTGAATCTGATCCTTTCTATGGCTATGAATCTGAAACTGTTGTGGCACATCTTACTAAGTTGAATGATATAGCTGCCCTGTTTACTAATAATGAGAGATTGCGCTACCTTTATTTACTCAAAATATTTCCGTTCTTATTAAAGGGTGATGCTAAGATATGGTTTAATTCTCTTGATCCTGGTT